ATTCACAAGTACCACAGTCCCATAGGTCACTACTCGCTCTTTCCTGTTCCCAAATTGAGGAACTCGGAATACATCACAGTCCTCTGGCAAGCCAAACCGGTCTTTGATTCCTGCTTTGATTCTTTGACTGACATGTTCTCTTCCAACATCCCGGACCGGATCCCGTTGGGCATTGTGTTGTTGAGCCTTCTTCCGCTTTTGGTACTCGACCATCTTTTGCTTTCGAAGTTCAGATACTGGTTTGGGCATCTACAGGGAAAAAAACATAGCTTTGATTAATGGTATGTTCAACACGTGAATATTTTGGAATGTGTGTGGGGATGCAAAGAAATAAGTGAATAAAATTTTGGTTGTATGAAATGATTCAATGTGAGATCTTATGAATGAATAATTGAATGAATAAGTATTGAGTAAATTCTTGAGGAATGAAATGCGGAAGCACTGAGATACATTTAGCAAAGGGTTAGGCTGGTAGTTGGGGTACCCCTCAGTCACTTGCCCTGCCCTTCACGAGACATAAACATCTCTGCATGTATCTCAAGTACTTCCGTCTTCCATGAGTCAATGTGAATAACGGTGAGCTTTAAATCATTTAAGTTAATTTGCATTTGTGAATCATTGATTGAATAAGTATTGAGTAAATTCTTGAGGAATGAAATGCGGAAGCACTGAGATACATTTAGCAAAGGGTTAGGCTGGTAGTTGGGGTACCCCTCAGTCACTTGCCCTGCCCTTCACGAGACATAAGTTAATTTGCATTTATGATTCATTCTTTGAAGTTGAGTATTGAGATAACGGTGAGCTGTAAATCATTTGGTGTAAGTTAATTTGTATTTGTGAATCATTGATTGAATAAGTATTGAGTAAATTCTTGAGGAATGAAATGCGGAAGCACTGAGATACATTTAGCAAAGGGTTAGGCTGGTAGTTGGGGTACCCCTCAGTCACTTGCCCTGCCCTTCACGAGACATAAACATCTCTGCATGTATCTCAAGTGCCACCGTCTTCAATAATTGTTCGTGAGTAAATCATGAGAGGTAAATGTTTTGAATTATATGAGTCTTCTTTTGCGATGAATTGAACAGATGTTTGAGAAATGTTGATTGATTTATTCATCTACATTCAATTAGATTCGGCTTCTTGTGGATTCTTCAAGTTTCCATTTCTTCTTGAGGATATAATATATCTTCTTATATGATCTGTCTTCATCTCGGTGAAGTAAAGAACAGACGGGAAGACAAAGGAAGAACATGGATTACCTTGGTTGATTCAACAAATTGAAGGAAGCGGACAGAACAGAATTAAATAATAATAAGATCAGAAGAAACTGGGAACGAAGGACTGGTTAAATGCTTCCACTCAAATGGTGGCTGAGTTGTGGTCAGCCATTACACGGTGTATACACATGTAGCCTTACATGTTACAGTTGGTATGTTTACATATCTCACATGTCATCATATGGTTCACACAAGGTTGTACCACAGAAAGTTTTATTACTCAAGAACCAATGATAGTTGACATTGCTTACATAAGAGTATTTTGGTGACAAAAGAAGAAAACAAAACATAGAAGATACAAAACATTTACTCAATATCCATTGCATCTTCCTCTTCCCCTTCAACTGTCAGCTTGGTGTTGTTGATCTTCACCAAAGGGATATAAGCTTTAGGAAGAATAGCACAAGTCATACCTGGTACCTGCACCGACCAATAGTATCCAATGTCGTAGGCCAGGCATATGGCCAGCTGAATCTTTTGAACCTTGACTTCACCAAACACTGATTTCCCTGGATGAACTGACCGCTTGTGAGGGAAATACCCTTTGACCAAAAGTCCCATAATATAATCATGAGTCCGGCACCAAATCTTCTCCTTGATCTGAATCTTCTCCAACTTTTGAATTTCTTCCGCAGCCTTGATGATTGCCATAGCATTGCCCACTGGCACATGCTTATCTCTTGAAGCCAACATTAATCCTCTAACACCACTAGTTATGAAACCGGCCAAGGAACCCCATGCAAACCCAACCTCCTTCAATTCGTCAATCTTCTTATTGATATCTTTTTTGATTTGTTTTTGCTCCGTATCAGTTGCTTTTTCAGGAATTTTTGAATGTAAATCCATTACAGCTAGCCCCATTAATACATCGTGAACACTGACTGAAAAGTTTTGAAGATTATTCAATGTACCGGCTTTGACCACTGCTGATTCGTGTGCAATTAATTGAGATCCTGACGAGCCTGAAGTAAGTAGATTTTCTCCGCCACCGCTGGAGCCTAAGGTTGGACGAGTTAATAATAAATGAGAAACAAATCTATAACTATTTTCATAAGGAGTAGCATCCGGGTTTTCTTCAAAGGTATTCTTGTGAATGACTTGATCACCAGCCACCGCAATAGCATCTTGAAATAAATTAGAAACCTCTTGACGTTTCTTTTTGGAAGGACATCCAATAGGCCGCACAGTCCGCCATACGTGAAAAGGCCATAACTTCGTATCCAGGTCCGGATTGAAAGAATCTTGAAACAAAGAAGGGCTCCATATTTCGGAGCTAAACAGCAATTCACCTTCAGCAGGTGTGAAGAATTGAAGTCCTGTGACAGAAGGGTATGTCAGTTGAATTATTTTACCAAAGTTCAAAAAATCATATGCACTAACCTTGCTCATTAACGAATTCAAGCCATGCTGAATTAGACATCTTGCTGCCCGAAAAACACGTTCCCGGAGGTAATTGGAAAGATGGCTTTTCCAAGAGAGGAATATGTTCAAGCCTCATGGTGATCAAGTTGAAAGCACTGTCTCTACCTTTGGCAAAGGTAGCTGAAGACATCTTTTTGGCCGGAAATTTGGTGAAACTTTGACAGAAAACTTCTTGATGCTTCAGGATAAATTCCGTCTCCAAGATTGCGGGAGGCAAGTTGGCTGGAATAGTTGCCACTTCAGTTGAGTCAAAGACTGGAATGTCTAGATCCATTTCGTCTTCACATGGTGTGACTTGGAAATTCGTGTCTATGAGAGACAAGAATGGTCAAAAAGAGAGGAAAAGTTAAAATAGTGTTTTCACAGAGTTCTTACCCTGAGTATGACCTGGCCGAACGTAAAATACAAACTGACCAATTTGGTTCTTGATGAGCTGAGTAATTGGTTCCACCAGGGATCCAACCTCCATTTCGATATCTTCATTACGGTTCGAACCAGGTCCCACGTCGCTGGTATTACGTTCGGAGGCCTCCGTGGTGACCGGATGCTGGTCGCCGAGAACTTCTGCAGGTAATGTATTAACGTCTGCAGGCAATCTCGAAGGCAGATCAGAGGATCTTTCGGGAACCGGAGCCGGAGAGCGTTCGCGAGCCGGAGAGCGTTCGGGAGCCGGAGGCTGTTCGGGAACCTGAGATTTTTCGTGGGCCGGAGATTGTTCAGGAGCCGGTGAGCTTCGGGGCTCCCTGATTTTCCCTAACCCATCTTCCTCATCCTCAAGTTCGGATGTTGGGCCAGGAGAAGGTTCCGGGACGGGTGGTGGAGACGATAGAGGTGAGGAGATTGGTTCTCCATCTAAGTCTGAAGAGGTTGATCGGATGACTCCTTTCCGTAGAGATTTTTGAGATAATTTGACCGGAGGAATATCTAGTTCATCTGAGGTTGAAACTTTGTCTTGATCTTGTTCTTCTGCTGGTTCTTTTTCATTCTGAGTTTCGTGTTGAACAACTTGATCATTTGAATTTTCTTCTTCCTCGTCCTCATGGCCACCAGAATTCGAATCATCGTCTCCTTCGGCATCCTCATTCGAATCATGATCATTGATGGGGTCCTTAGGTTTCGAGCTAACACTACACAAAATTTAATGTATTCTGTACAGATTTCAAAAATGATTGTAATACAAAAATGCAGATCACAGATTACTGAATTGATCTTATTACACAAATCATGCGTGTAGAGATGAGAAAAAAATAGCAAGGTAAACTGAGAAACATGCTGGTAGCTCTTGGTAGATCCTATAGGGAACAAAGATCCTGGCAGCCCGTTCAGATTTCAAAGGACCAATGGTAGTTCTGGGAAACAAATCGCATTTTGCAAATATTCCACCTAGTTCGAAGTCAATCATTACATAAATAGCTTTTTGCGACCTTTGTGCTATTCGTCCGTTTTTTCCGGACAGTCGTGCGGCAGATGATGAATGGAAGCCACACACATACACCAAATATATCAACTTCACATATGTTCATTAAATTAACGCACCAAGTGAAGACAAATAGAAGCTCGCAGAATGAAACTTTCGGGTGCATGTAGCACATTCTTGTAGTCATACAATGTTTCCGTCGTACGATTACTTGAATGATCTAACCGGGCTCAATCATGGACTCTCCGGAAGATATGTGGTCGTAGCCCTATATTCATAAATTGGGGATTGTCATGATACCCTTTATGTATGTAGTAAGTTGGTTCCTTTTCTTTGATCGCAACACAACCAAAGAAAGGCATCAGCCCCACACCACGTTACCGCCATCCGCTCATAGGAGCCTATTGAGTGTTTGATGAATCAGTCTCGATTGCAGCCACTCAACAAGACTCGAGGGCCAACTTTCGATGTTGAAGACTTCTCACCCATTTAGCTAATCACTTTATTTGCGATCGGTCTCTTCCTATCTTTGGCAAGACGTCCTTTTTTTCCGTCGAACGTGACCTGATTTCTTTCGTACCGTATTCAACTTTACTGTGTATGCCTATTTTTCTGATTCGGGTCTTCTTCCTATCTTTCATGAATCTCTCTTTCTCATGATTTGCTCTTGATTCTACAGTGTGAACCTCGATTGTTCTGTTAGTTTCAACTCGCCGAACCATTGTCAGTCAGCACGTAAGTCCAGCTTCACTCCATCTCAATGATCTTGTGGAGGTACCTTATGGGTTTTGGTGACGCATCAATGAACTTTATAACTCCAACAGATCGACAATATGCCAGCGAAGAAAAAAAAAGCGGGAAGTTCCGCTCACGGTGGTTCCCCTATGGATCAATCTGGTTCTAACAAGGCATCCGCTGAGCAATTGAATAGCTCGACTCAACTGCCGCCAACACCAGGAAAAGCGCCACCCCCTGGTCAATTCCCATTCAATCCGTTTCACAATCCTTCGAACGAAACCTCCAACGAAAATTGGTACAAGATTCAATCGATGATGACCAATAGTGATATGCGTGTATTTCTTCAACACGACTTCGAAAGCAAGTGGGAGTCTATCAAGTGTTACGAATACTACCGAATCATTTTATACTTCAATCCTGCGACCAAGTCCCGCCCGAACCACAAGAAATCCCTGTTGTACAAAGCCTTCAAGGACGAGGTCTACCCAATTCTAAAGCCTCATGTGCTACCCGTGCCACCTACTCCAATGGACACTGAGCAAAAAGTTCGCAAGGATTTCAATCCACTCAGCCGACGAGTCAGGAAAGACCAGCTTGTCACTGCGGTCCTAGATTCCCGACCTGTGACTACGATACCTAAGAATTCTGACATCGGAAGCTTACTTTATCTGTACCGAGAGCATGTCGACAAGGATTTGAAGATACCTGGCGATTCAGAATTCGTTCGACCACCCAATGTTGTACATCGTGATAATGTCAAGGAACTCTTGATGGAAGAGCTCCGAATGAGCTTGCAGGAACATGCTCCGCACGTGTTCATTCATTCCACACCAATGTCACACACAGTCCTCGTCAATCTGTACATCAAGTTTGTGTTAGATGAGCCAGTAGAGCCAGGCATGGTGGTTCGTGGGTTTCACTACTCGCTCCTGCGTAAAACCCCTTGATTGAACGGGATCTATCTACATATCTGAGGTTTGTTTGAATTCAATTCGATTTTCTTTCACTTTTGTCTTTTACGAATTCTGCTCACATGATCTGACTATTTACTGTAGCGGCCCGTTTGTCGATTGAGATTTGAAGTCTTTCTCTTCTCACCACTGCCTTAATCCAACAACATTAAACTCATCATGTCATAAATACGGAGTCGACTGGTATCTCATGGTTAGGAAGATTAGTACTTGTTCGGAATTATGCTCTCACAACATGTTTGACTATCTGCTCTTGAAACAGTCTCTATTTCCTATTCTAAACGTTATTGTTGTACAGTAGATTCTCCGGCGAGTACACTTGTTTCACTTTATCATATCCATGCCAGTGCTTCATCTTGAACCTTTCCAACAAATTGTTGTATCTCTCCCCATTCAAAATTATCTATCGCCTATCCGTGTACTCGACTTGGTTTTAAATTCTATTGTCTTGATTTTGAATCTTATCGTCTTGTGACATGCCTCCGAAAACAAACAGAAGCAAAGATCCACACCGAGTTGTTTGTCGCTGCCGAATCTATAACTGTTATCTCCAGAAATATGAAGATGCACATGGAGTGACTCAATTTGGTGTCGAGGTCGTACCTGAAACATTCGAACATCATCAGTTGGCAGAACGAAGAGAGAAAGCGATATCTAGATCGCTTGCTCAACAAACCGGGGATACGTCTGAATCGCCTGCGACTGATATCAATCAAGCTACAGAACATCTTGCCCACTTAAACTTGAATCGTCAATCCGATCAAGAGAGAGGCTCACGCTCCTCATATCATGAAAGTCCTCCGATACACGACCCGCCGATTGGAACGTTCACCAATCAACCTACATCAGACTCTTCCCTTGATCCTCTTCCGGTCTCCTCTAAAGTCTGTATGTCTGCTGCAAAAGCTCGAGATGAGGGAACCATGAAAGTATACGATTGTGGTGAGATTCTTCTCTTACAACATCTCTTGCAGCTTTTAACAACAACTAACTGTCAGTATGTATGCAAACTTGTCAAATAGAGCGCTTCCATGCATTCACACTAGAAAACATCAATCCGCTGCTGCTCCAAGTTGTCCTCATGGTAGCGCTTTTGAGCATTTTTGGGAACCTCTCGATGGCTACAGCGTCGTGGATCTTGGACTCCTTAAAGATTACAATTGAACTAGCTTTGACATACGGTATTAATCCTCTTCGAACGCCTACAGTCCTTAGGTCGTCAGATATATCAAATTTGCACCGGATCCCCAAAACAATCACAACAGTAATCTCCTGGTTGAGGATTGATCCTCATTTAATCGAGATGAATTGTTGTCAGCAATGTTTCGCGCTATACCCCCTAGAACGTACACCGAGAAATTGTACCCATCAAGTTTCTCAAATTCCTGGGGGACCACCAGAGCAGTCGAACACTGATACTCAGACCACTTCTCCAGCTCAAGAATACCTACCGGACATTTCCAAATTTTCACAAAAAACTTGCGGTCAGCTACTAACAAAAATATCACGAGGGAAAACAGTTCCTGTACGAAAATATGCATTCCAAAGTCTTTCAGAATGGATTGCGCGTCTACTCTCTCGTCCTGAAATCGAGTCATTACTAGACAAGTCGTTGGTTGAGTCTACCAAGCCATTTAATCAGAATAAGCCCATAAGTGACATCCACGAATCAAAAATTTGGAAGAACTTCAAAGGTCCGGATGGAAAGCAATTCACTGCAACAAGTGGGCATTTGACATTTGGGATGTTTGTTGATGCAATCAATCCTTATGGAAATAAAACCAGTGGACATCACGCATCTATAACATTTATTGTAATGGTTTGTCTGACACTTCCTGTAGAGATTCGCCACCGACCTGAAAATGTCTTTGTAGTTGGTATTGCACCCGGACCTTCGGAACCCTCTTTAGAGCAAATGAACTGGATTCTACGCCCAGTTGTGAATGAGCTTCAATCACTATGGAACCCCGGCCTCTTACTTTCGCGAACTCATATGTACAAATCAGGGCGTCTTGTTCGTGCTGCACTGCTTCCATTCATAGCCGATATACCAGCTCTCAGACGCTCACTGGGATTTCCGAGTGCGACAGCCACATTCTTTTGCTCGAAATGTCTCATCACTAAGAAAGAAATCAACAATCTAGACAAAACCGAATGGTCAGTACGTACATGTGCTCAGCACAAAGTGTGGGCATTTCAGGCTCGTGATGCAAAGACTGTGAAGGAACGGCAAAACATCTTCAAGACCCACGGTGTACGTTACTCAGTATTAGTCGAACTTGAATATTGGAACATTGTAGATTATCATGTAGTTGATTCTATGCATAACCTTTTGCTTGGTCTTCTGGCATGGCATGTTCGAAGATTTTGGGCCATGAAAGACGAGGACAACACCAACGAAGGACTGGAGCCTATAACAAATGTGGAGCTTCGTGATCTTTTCAATGAACACGCTGAAGCACAGAAGCTTCAAGAAAGAATTCCAGTACAAGAAAACAAAGGCGCTGAAACTGAACACAACAATCAGGATGAAGATGGCTGTAACATTGGTGAAACTTCGTTTGGTGAAAGTACATCTCCCAGTGATGAAGATTTTGACCCTCTGGACGATTCTGGATGGAACGGGAAATGGGATGCTCCTCCTTTTGAAGAAATAATTTTTGACTCTACAATGCTTGCAAAGATCAATCGTCGGCTTCAGCATATCCATATACCTACGTGGATCAAGCGTGCTCTTCCCGTGCTTGGAAAAGCGTCGTTTGGAAAGCTTAAGGCAGACGAATGGAGAAATCTTTTTGCAATCCAATTGCCACTCATACTTATACCAATGTGGGCGGATCAAGGAAATGTTAAGATGTCTCTCCTCCAGAACTTTCTACACCTAGTGTCGCTTGTCAATGTTGCTCTTAAACGCGAGATGACATCAAAGCACATCAAAAGCTATGAACATCATATTCAAAAATACCTTGAGGGATCCGTTGAATTATTTCAGCATTGTGGTTTGGCTCCAAACCATCACATGGCTCTCCATATGACTGAATTACTTGAAGAGTTTGGCCCTGTGCGCACTTGGTGGTCTTTCTTTTTTGAAAGATTGATGGGGAGCATTTTGAAAGGCTGCCACAACAATCATATCAGTGAGTTTTTCGTGCTGAAGAGGAGTTATAATGAGCTAATTACATGGGTTCTTATGTCATTAGGTGAGCTACCAATAACATTCCTCAAGCATTTCTCGCGAGCTGGGAATCTTGCTGCCCTTCTGGAAAACGAAAAAGTTCCGGATGCACTCAAGCCCTATCTTCCTCGATTACGGTCCTTGTATGAGACTATGGAACCTACTCCAAAGCGCCTTTCAAACTCAAATATGCAACCCATCAGAGCTGATATACTTGAAATGTTGGAGGAACGCTTAAATAGTGAAGATGATCAATGTCAATGGATGGTTCCAGACAAGTTGTGTGTACTTTCAGAGGATGATGCACTGGCATATGAACCACTTCATCCCAACGCATTTTTCTATAATAGGATTATGCACAATTCTATTTCATATTCAACCTTTAGCAGCAGTCAGAATGACAGTTTCATTCAGTTCAAGATGGGCTCAACTGGGGCTCTGGATTATGGGCGTATATTTTCAATCTTTATACATCGGCGGTCTCCGACACGGTCAGAAAACATTTTTGATACCTGGATTCATGTTCAAAGGTTTCCTAGGATTCCTGCTTCTCTAGAAAGATTCGATCCTTTTCGTCACGCAAAAGGATTTCACACCCAAAGTTGTTTACGCGCATGGGGACCAACAGAGGACTGTATTGTGAGATTAGATGAAGTTGTTGCGCATTGTTCATGGGTAATGTTTAGGCCTGCGGAAATTAACTCAAAAGTAAATATGGCTACTGTAGGTTTAGTTTCTATGGCCAGATAGATTTTTTAGGTAGATCATTGTAGCAAAGGATATTGTGTAATTACAGATATTGAGCTTTGGGATCAAGGAAAAGCGAAAATACAAAGAGAAAGATATAACCCTGTTTCAAATGGAATCTAAAGCTATCATGATTTCAGTCAGACCAATCTCAGGTTGGATTCCTAACATCGCTTGACCTTTAGAGCCAAGCTGTTCGAGAAATTCTTGTGAATAACAGTCTCTTGGTAGTCCTTCGGGTGCTTCAATAAGACTCTCTGATGCATCATTGCGCCGGATACGGGGGCGAGATGGTCGTCCACGCTGCGGAGAATTCGAGTTCTTAGGAACACTCTGATCCAGTGTTCCCTTTCGCGCCTCCAAGCGAACCAGGAGACTTTCAAGTGCCTTGCTACGCCAAGAGAGCTTACAAGCACATATCAAACCTTTGCCGGGAGTGAGATTCTGCGCCTCTTCGGTATCAGTTTCATCATCGCTACAGGTTACCTTGATGACTGATAGAAGTGGCCAGAGCGTTTTTTCTTCAAGAGCTATCTTGGACCGCATTGCTCTTAACTGCAAGGTCAAGGTTCGATGGCATTAACACAACTTGCGCAATCTAAAACTTTGAGTGAGATCATACTTACACGGCATAATCGTGTAGCACGTCTGACATTTCTAGCTACACATAACTTTTGCTCCTTGTCCCATGTCTGCTGACGGTATCTGAAGAACAATCAATGTGTGTTTATGTGTCAGTGTATAGTGTTTCCTTATATCACGCAGAGATCTAAATATCACACCTTTTCATCAGGGTCTGTATGTGGGACGAGAAACACTTTTTTATGTACGGAATGTTGTCCTTGTCCAGAGAAATCCCAGTGTACACTCCCAACTGAACAAGTCTAAAAAAAATCCTCTGCGAAAGATCCCACAAAAGTCTATTTTGTCTTGAACCTGGTGAGTCTCCCAAGTCTGGGCGAAAAGATTCTACTCCCGCTGCCTTCATCAGTTCCCACGTGACGGATAGTTGTTGGGGCGAGGCTTCTCGATGTCCAGGTCCGTTTGGATACGGGAAACAAGGGTCTACTCCAGGACCATGGTCCTGAGATTCGGATGGCTGTGCTGGGTCAATATCAATGCTGTCTAAATCTATTTCGCAATTCCATGGTTCCTGCTCTTCGACGGTCGCTGGGCGTGGGAGTGGCTCAGATTCCGACTTCAGGCCGAACATCATTTCAAGATGGAAACGGATTTGTGCCTAGTATGCGCAGGAGGAAGTTGATTCAACCCCAAAAGGTGCAGATAGAAATAATGAAAACTTACGGCTGTGCGTCCCCCGCGTGCGTGACCGTTGATATTGCCTGAATTGCGATTGCCGACAGATGACCTTACAGCCTCTGACATACTCTTAAGTTCACTTTCAAGCCGTTCAATCCGTTTGTTTGCCTTGATCAGCAACAATTTGGTTTCTTTCCATAACTTTGTGAGCTCTTTGTTAGACATCACGGATTCTGAAATGTAGTATAAGTCAGTAATGCAGGGATGCAGGGAAAATGTAATAGAATATGTGAACATACCTTCGGGAAGTACCTCGTTCTCCAAAGCCATTCCAGATTGCATACCTTCGGATCTGTGATTTTCAGTCCGCTCGAACTCAAAGTCTTGATGATTGAACAACTCGTCATCTTCAGAATTCAATAATGCCGGGAAAATGTAATAGAATATTTGAACGCACCTTTGGGAAGTGCCTCGTCATCGGACACCATACCAGATTGCTTGCCTTTTGATCTGTGATTTTCAGTTTGCTCGAACTCAAGATCTTGATCATTGAACAAATCTTCATCTTCAGGAATAAAGTCGCTGTCAGACTCTCTGCACTCCTTCTCTTTCCCCTTTATTGACTTTGAATGCATTGAATGGGATTTTGACAAGTCCGTTGGTCGGGGTCGAGGGTACAGAAGTGTTCCGTGTTCTACGCTTGGTAGAGATTTTTGCAAGGGCTCTGTAATGTCGTTTCTTCCGTACCTTGATCCCCCTACAAATGTTTGCTAAATTTCTTAGAACAAGATGCATACGTGGGTTCGAAAAGCAAGACTTACATTCAAGCACTTCCTTTGATGTTGTCGAAAAGGTGAAACTCCTTTGCATGTCATCTGATTGCTTTTGAGCTGTTGACGTAGATGCCACCCGATGTTCTGGTTCACAAGTTACGGGGGGTATGACTCAAATTGCAATACTAACTTCAGTTTTTGGAATGAATTGACTAGGAGGAATGCTTCAGACGTACTCAATTCGTGATAGATCTTACAATTTTCAACTAGGTTTGATTTGTCCATTCCAAACGTGTTCAAACCCACTTCTTGCAGCATCTTCTCCAGAACTTTGTTGCTATAGATCTGATAATCTATTTCCTGAGGATCCGATGTATCAGCCTCTTCAAACGTCGAACAATGGGAGACTTTTGTCTTCGACATAAGGTATTGGTGCATCCGGATCGGGAGTTTTTTGAGGCGCTTTTTCCTTTTGAGCTGTTGACGTAGATGCCACCCGATGTTCTGGTTCACAAGTTACGGGGGGTATGACTCAAATTGCCATTCTAACTTCAGTTTTTGGAATGAAAATTGACTAGGAGGAATGCTTCAGACATACTCAATTCGTGATAGATCTTACAATTTTCAACCAGTTTTGATTTATCCATTCCAAACGTGTCCAAACCCACTTCTTGCAGCATCTTCTCCAGAACTTTGTTGCTATAGATCTGATAATCTATTTCCTGAGGATCCGATGTATCAGCCTCTTCGGACGGCGAACAATCGAGACTTTTGCCTTCAACAGAAACCGGTATTGGTGCATCCGGATTGGGAGGATCTTGAGAGGAAATGAGACTTTTCCCTTCAACATGAGCTTTTGGTGAATTCGGATCGGGAGTTTTTTGAGGCGCTTTACTCGTGAGTCTTCTTCCCCTTTTCAAGATCCTTTTTTCAAGCAGCTCCAGGAGACGGGGCCGAGAGGTTTTTGGTCCAACAATACCGACGTCTTCAACGGCACCTTTCGCACAATCTTCTTCAGAAAACAAGTTTGCTAAATCAGCTTTCAACGCATGGAAATCTAGAGTCGCCATGCTTGGGCGCACCTGCAGTAAGTTTTGTTTTCTTTCTTGAAGTTACTATATCATTGTTATTTTCACCTTCTGCCACAATAGTTTGTTTACGTTTACACCTGGTGCTAGGAGGCTCTATCAGGGGTGGATCACTAATTGTTGATGAACGAAGCACCGGCCGAACGCGGGATCCCTTTGCTGGCATGATTATGGCATGCAGGCGAGCAAGATTGAAATAGAGACACTTAAAGAAATATCGGCAGTGAAATTAAGTAGATGAGATTGGAATAGGCGAAAATTAAACATCAAGATAGGCAAACATTCTGAAAGCTAGCCGAACAACGCCCGAACAAGCAAGCAGGGTAACAGACCGTCGACAATTATGTTATGAGATAGATAAGTCATCGCATCAACGGGATAGCAGAGGCAGTGATCTAAGGATAATCTCTGCGTCTCATTCATGGAAACTGAGTTGACGTCACATACCGTTGCTGGGATTTTTTCTCACTAATTACTTGCCCAGATCATCATCCCAAGGGTTTGGGGAAAATACCGCAAACAAGTGTAAGTGTTGAGTCTCAGTCGGTTGTAGTCATCCCAAGGCTTGGGGAAAAATAGCGCAGACCGAGAACAAGCGTTGAGTCTCGGTCTGTTGTGAACAAAGGTAGCAATGAGCTTTCGACGAAATCGGAATTTTGTAATTAAGTAATTACCGAAGTCCGATCTTGTCAGAGACACTGGTCAAGAGTTGACTACATATTTTTTATACAAAGGACTGTACATAGTGAATTAATTCCCTCAAATCTCTCAATTTCCAAACTTCAACAAACGATTAAACAATGACAGCAAATCTCATTCTCAATCACCCCATCCACGAACAACCCTTTCATCACACGAACACTACCCTTTCGATGTCAAGACTTCGAAGTTTAACTCAGCAATTACCGAATGAGTTACAAATATCAGTTCATCAAAGAACACGCTCACCCTTTGTGATAACTTATAACACCCACAATCATCCATCCTACCTTCACAATCCATTCGATTATAAACTTTGTCTCACCAGACTTCCTTTTTCTCAAACGTCTCAACATCATCATAACTCGTTTTCTCATATTATAGTTGATCATTTTTTCGTACAACTTATACCAAGTAGCCCAGAAGATATGCTCGAGGACTCACATCTCAATCCCCCGGATTCATCAATTGCACATGACGCTAGTATATCCGAGATCCTTCACAACGTACAGACGCAGCAACCTGATCATGATGAATGTATGACCTACATCATTGAATTGCTTTGAATATCTTCTGATCAAGTTCTTCATATCATTTGTTCCGTTGATCCAGCCTCCGGACCCCAAGCGGTCACCTCCAGTGATCCTCATGGTTACCCTCAGCTTCAACAACTTCGAGTATCTTCCCCCACA